GGCTAGGTGTAGCTATACTGGGATATGAGAAAACGCTGCTGACTGGCAAGTACAGTCATTTTTGTTTCGTTGCCCCTCGCCACCGTAACAAGTTTGGAAGAATTTTGTAAACTTTTCATGATTGTACATCGAAAGTTATCCCACTCCACATTTTCACCCGATTTTCTCTTGATGTTAGGTGGGCTATCTCTCAGGATTTTACGGTATAGTATAAAGATTATGGTAATGGCACCACATAATTTAAAAAGCAATACAGTATTAGGTTTTTTAAATCATGTCTCCAGGTCATTATGATCAGCATTTTGCTTGCCTCAAGCAAACAACACAACCTTATAAATCCTGAAATCAATGGCAATAGAAAGGGGGGGGGGGGGGGGCTTTACTCTTTACAGAAGTTTGGTTTGAAAAATAAAAAAAAAATGAATCCCAATTTTAGCCTTCAAATCTTGTAAAATACATAATCAGAAAACAAAGAGCTCAAGTATGCCCAGTGCCATATACAGTATAGACAACTTACAACGTAACCACTTATAGTGCAGGACCGGGTATAACGCAGCTTTTTTAAACCACCGATTCACCTCCCATAGAACTCCATGTAATTACATACCACTTAAAATGCAGGCGCGCGAAGGGAAATACCGGTTATAGTGCGGTTACTGGAACAGCCTGCCGACCGACCAACACAGCGAGCACGCTTCCCTGTACGACACTAGATAACGGTGCTATAGTCGGTTGCAAGCTAAGAACAATCTTTTAGCTCCACCCACAAGCGCATTGCGCCCATCTGAAGTGCCTCCACCGTCGAGAAAGTAGTTCGCTAGCAACGTTGCTCTTTCTTCCTCCAGGAAACGTGTCTTAAACTACTACAATATTTATTTAATTCATTCAGGACATTTAAATAAGTTAGAATATGTTTTTGTCAACGAAATAGCTGTTTAGTAAAGAAAGAAAGTCATGTACAATGTACCGTCTTCCCAATTCATTTTCTGTCCAAGATACTGTCTAACATACCGTCTTCCAGCTCTCAGCAGTGCCAAGCCTTGCACCCGCTTCGAAATTTTCGTTGGCGATAGCGTCGCTGGATTCTCACGTTGTCGTGCAAAAACTGCTGCAAACGCAAGCCGATACCATTAAGATTTCGTGGCGTAACCTCGGGCACGTAAAACACGGTGAAAAAAGCAGAATAATTGTCACGAGAAACTAGCGTCGCGTTGCTAAGGCCAGCAGCCATGTTGAGCTTTTTTTTTTCTTCAAAAGGATCGCGATTGGTCCACGGAATCGTGACGTCATGAAAACGATTGGCTGGCGTTTCTCGGCGTAGGATTACATTTTCCTCTGAGAGGCATTTCCGGTTTTTTCTTAGCTTGCAACCGACTATAGCCGCAAGCGGCTTTCGCGAGGCAAGACGCGGGGAGAAGCGAAGAGAAAGGCTTCAGTTGCCATAGCGACGGAGGGACGCATGCATGTCGTTCACGTGCGTGCGTCCCTCCGCTGCGTTGGAAAACAACCGCAATGACAGACCAATCGCAGGTCGAGGAGAAGTGTTCGCACACGTTGCATGCCGGTCGCGGGCCGGCTGCTTCTATCTGCAAACATGGCGTCGGTTGTAATCGTCGACGTAGACGGCCTGGTGGAAGCTCATCGTTCCGCGTAAAAGCGCTATCCTTGACTGTGAATTTTCGTTGTGTGAGCGAATAACCCAGCACGTACTAGAAGGGAAGATCCACCTACTCGTGCGGCGATGTCGTGGCGGCAGTCCCAAGATGGCAGAAACGCCCGTGTCGTTGTGTTGGTTTACTTCGACTACAATGGTGATTTCTAAGCATTTGTGTTTTCGAACATCGCCCGGATTTCTTATTTGGAGCATTTCATGCCTGTGCTCAAGTTGAAGGTATTACTGGCGCGAACCGTATAAAGGATGCGAATTTTCATGTGTTGCTATCACCGGAGATAAGTGATTAGGGTTAGCAATCCTGAACGCTCGCAACATCCGTCCGCAACCCGCGACGCCGTTAAAAGGCTGCGCCAGGCGAAAGTCGCTAATTTCTTTCAAAATGTGTGACACACTTGAGAGAGAAGTGTACTAGTCTGGTGAAATAAAGACTTTCTTCAAACTAAGCTTTATTTTTCATCTAACATAAAATAAATTCTTTTACAAAGGTAAGTTGTCTCATGGCATGTATTTTGGCCTGAAAAATTTATGTTTTGGTTATAGCGCGGTACCGCTTATAGTGCCGATTTTCGCGACTCCCGCGACATACGTTATATGCGGTCTACACTGTAGTACCTATATGTGAACCAACAAAACAGCAGTAATATATTTTTTCTGTAAGACGCAAACCCTCGCAGGGTTGATATATAACTGAGTTATAGCAACACAAACTTCCATGAAATGTTGATGTGAACAAAACTTCTTACAGCACAGTAGTACCTCATGAATACATTCTCCATTAATACATTTTCCCCACTGCTAGATTGACCAATACCAGTTCCGCAAAACACCCATTGGGATATGTGTACTATTAATTTCAAGTTTGTTGCCGTCCCATGTGGCTGGCACAACACGCTGGGCTGCTCACCCACAGCCACCAGCTCCATTTTGCTTAGCACTTCCTTTTTTTTCACCTCCCCGACTCTCTCCATTATCGTTTTCCAGGTGAGCATGACCTTGAACTTGGTTTGGAAGGGGTTTTGCAACAGCCCATCCACCTTTCCGTCTCTTTCTCCGGTGCGCATGCACACTTTTGCGGTGGCTTGGTTCCTCTATTTCCTCTAGTTGTATTCTGTGTTGCTGCAGCTTGACTGTTGTTCGTGTTGCTGATCAGGCAGACCGCATCTTGGCTGGGAACAGATCTAGGACAGGGGTCCCAGACAAGATGCAGTCTGCCCGATCAACAACGGGAACAGTCGAGCCACAACAACTGGTGACAGCGGCGAATCACCAAAGGGTTCCGGCCGTCTTCACCAAATGAAACGCCAATCGTAACAGTGTGGAGTTCAAGGTTCATAAACATGCACAATGCATGGCAAGCTCATTTAACCATTTTGCACTGGCATGCGTGTCAAGCTTCACCGCATTGCACCGTTGTGCTAGGAGTAGCGGCTGATGTGGGGGGGGGGTATCTGGGCTAGCTTGATCAGCTCAGGAACTTTGCTCACTTTTATAGGGTGACACTGTTTGATTACCATTTAGATCAGCCCCTAATTTAAATAAAACCTCGTAAAACCACATTGACAAATATTTGAATAAATATGGTAGGTAGTTCTCCTGAGCCACGAAATTCACGCAAAATAAACTGCTACGCGAGATAATTCCTGTCTGGTCTACAAGCCCACCAAAAGCATTATTGATTGTCACAATTTTAATGGCGGCGCCCATAAAAATGTAGCGGAGGCTCTTGTGTATTTACCAGCTACCTCTTAGTTTCTTCAGGGTTATAATTCTGAAGAAGCTAAAGGCTGGTTCACACACTTGCTACCATTTCTGATCAAGTGCCTTAAAACCTCTTGGGATCTCTTACAAACACACTGTCATCACTTATCGGGTAGTTGTGCAACACTTGATACTTTCCTATATTTCCTATTATTTGTCGTCCTTCTTTCTTGGCTCGAAAAACCGTTGACAATTTTATAAACAACTACCATAAAATCCCGTAAGGACACCCACCCAAAATGAAGAGATAAATGATGAAAAACATGGGGTGGGCTATCTTTGGGGATGCCACAGCAAAACTTTATCAAAAATTAATGATAAGCGCAGGGGCACCCGCTACAAACCATGTGACGTGGCAACTGGTATCGCGGACACGGCAACTTTGCGTTTCACGATGCGATAAATACGCGGGAATTCGCTACAAACTCCTGTGTCACGGAAAAGGATACCGCAAGTGGCCGACGCAGCCGATTTGCGTTTCACGGTGCGAAAGACTCGTGGAAACCCACCGAGAATTTGCACCTCACGGGAACGGATACCGCAGATCGTGGACGCAGCAGATTAAAGTTTCATGAAGCAATTAAGACGTGGGAACCCGCTACAATCTTGCCTGTCACGGAAACCCATATCGCGCGCGCAGATCGTGGATAGAAACGCGGGAATACGCTACAAACTGGCATGTCATGGAAACAAATGCCACAAATCGCAGACGCAGCAGAATCGCATTTCACGATGCAATATACACGTGGGAAGAGCTCGCGTGTGTTACAGCTATGAATCGATATCGCGAGCGCAGATCGCGGACAAAAACACGGCATCCGCTATGAATTGGGAACGGACACCGCAAATTGTGAACGCAGCAGATTTGCATTTCACGATGCAATATACACGCAGAAACAGCTCGCGTGTTGCGGGAGCGGATATCATGCGCGCAGAACGCAGACAAAAATGTGGAAACGCGCTATGAACTTGCTTCTCGGATGTCCCGGTACCGCAGATCGCGCCGTTGATGCGCGATTCCCGTCGGACATCGCTTAACATCCAACGGGAATCGGGAAGTGGGCGAGTTTTCGGAATTTTTATGTTACCGATATTTAGCCAGAAAAACGAGATGGGCGATCTCTCGGGAGGGGGCGTCCTTTACGGGATTTCACGGTATTTCTCCTAGCTAGTATGTACATTTTGATCTCGCAAATACTGCAAAACCTTCACTCTAGTGAAATGCAGTTCCAGGGTTACCTCATACACGGCGCAAGCATGTTCCCTCGTCGTAAGAAATCGCAAGAACTCAGTCCTAAGCAAATGCAAGTGTGTGAATGGGCCTTAAGCCCACAATATTTAGAACATCAGGCTTATAAACATCTGTGGTTAGATAAACGTAGCTGTCCGTCGAGTATTAAAAATAATTTAAAAATTTCCTTATAATGCAAGATACCCAGTGGCACGCAGCGTTTTTCCTTTGGCGGCACTGCTACGGGGAGCTTAGAAAATAAATGTCAAGAAAATGACCCTTTTTGTCTAGCACAGACTCCTCTGCACTAATGACGAGGTTAATCTGAAAACTTACAATACTGGCTTCTGCAGACTGGGCTCGATGCAGCCGACACTTGGTAACTGGAGTCCGGGTAGCTGGAGCTGGCTCCAGACGAAAGAGACAGTCGCCGACATGTGTACGGGTCCCGCACGTGCACCACTGAAAGAAAGTCCTGGGGTTAAAATCCTTCTTTTTTTACATATCAGCAGGGCTCAGCTTACCTTGACCCAGCTCCTTGATTTCCTAAAAGAGAAAACAGGCGCAGCGATCAGGTATGCAGATGGGAAACGGGTACTTTCCCATTTCTCGCCTTAGAATGCATGGTTTCAACTCACCCTCTCAACCCTATCTTTTGAAAAGGAAAACCTCACAGTTTTGCCCAGCTCTTCATCATATTTGCGCTCCACTACGAAGTGCTGCGGAACAGGGGAATTCCTAATTAGAGACGGTAGTTCCGACAATATGCCAGGACGACCTGCTACAACGAAAGCGGCAGTGTAAATGCACCAACAAAGAGCCCCGCGTCTCCCGCTTACCTTGATGTCATCACGCAACTCCATAAGCTCGTAATCGGGAAGCGTGGAAGCCATTTCACTTCTTGCTTTCAGTTCAGCAGCTAACTTTTGGCGCCGCTGCAGCATTGCACCTGCAGGTTGAAGAATGACCAAACCCTGTTCACTGAAAACATGCAAATGAAGTCTAATCACTCTAAAAAGAGAGACTCACGAGCATCAGTTTTCACTTTTTCCATTTCTGCCTCAAGTTGTGCTTGTCGATCATTCAACCTGCACAAAGTATTAGAAAACTTTTAAGCCAGGCCTTTATTTCATTATCATTAGCTTGGCTAAAATGCAATCCAAAATTACGGGCATCAACGTCATCACACAGAAAACAACCGTAACTTACAGTTTTTGCACTTCAGCAAAAGCAGCCTTGATGGCTCTTTCCGCTTTATGGAGTTCATCTTCCAGTAGAACTTGAACCCTCTGAAGTGCCACAGTTTGGCGTGAAAGGTCCTTCAGAGATTTCTCGAGGCCTGGGAAGAAAACAAGCGAGAGATCCAACACATTAATCATATAGAAAAAAACATACCGATTGAAATTGCTAAATGCTGTAGTGTTCCTACCCAGTCCATCCTGAATGGCTTGATGCGAAAAAAAAAAAAAGAGGACGCAAAGTCAAGCTAGCAGAAATAGAATATGATAGGTCACAGGCTGACCACAGAACAAAAGGTATATAGTTTGAAAACAAAAAGAAAGGGGGATCACAGGCTGTCTTTCATTTGATGATGTGTCACTAATTAAATAGAAAATAATTTCAAAGATGCAATCTAAAACAGTAAAAAACAAAACTCTGTGCTTCACATCAACATTTTGTGTAATGCTGCTAAAGCCAACATAGCTTCCAAAGCACCATAATTAATACACTGCTACAGCAAAAGGGGAAGGTGAGTAAGTGGGCCCCATAATTTCTGTTATCCATTCCAGCCATGTCATGGCATACGAGAGCTCGGAGAAGAAACAAGCGTTGCATGTCTGGAGGTCCCAGCAGGGGTATCTTTGTGCGGCGGCACTGGCAGTCAGTGTACAGTATGGAGCGTGGGGAAGTTTGTACAGTCCATTCAAGAATCAAATTAAGAGTAAGAAACACAAAATTATTTTCCTTTTGTTCTTTGCAGAACAATCATTAGGATGACTATTGCGTCAATTTATTGTCATTTTAAATGAAATCAATAAATGTTAGACATTCTTCTGGTGTGTACTGTTCCTTCGGTGGTGTAGGATGTAATGCGGTCACATATGAGCTTCTGTGAAGATTCATGTCAGAGTCCTATACCCAATGAAAGCTTGGGGTGCAATTAGTGTAGACAATCCTTTGTAATCTGTCTTTACCTCATTTTTGCTTAACCTATTTATGTATCAATTGAACCCAGGAATCCTGGGTTCAATCGCCACCCCTGCCCATTTCGACCTGGATGAGCATCGTACTGATGTGCGGTCGTGTATCATTTCAGCACAGTGCACGTTAAAGACCCCAGGCTAGCTGTGGTACTGCAATAGCTTCTCATTTACAATGGCGACACCAGCACCCACTAGAGCTGACTAACTTCCCGCTGTATCAACAAATATGCAACACAATTGTTTAATATATTAAACATCTACATGACCAGCATGCTGCATTATTTGGTATTGCACTCTACTTTATGCACACTGAGTAAGTGTGTATGCAATTTTAAATATTATGAAGTGCCTTTGAACGCTGTCCATGAATGCTCAAAGAGAGGTGCTTGGACAATGCAATGAAAACGTAAGTGAAAGCACTGTTTCTAGCAGAATAGAGGTTGACCCCTACTTTTTAAAGAAGCAGAAGAAAAGAAATTCATACAAACAACACATTCATCAACCCTGCTGGCCATGTCATTGTCTGAAGTTCTAGACAATGGCACCACCATCGTAGTTGTAACAGCCACGAGCTAAAATGTGCAGACATTTTGTAAAATGGTGGGATGGCCGTGGGTGTGATTTGGACAGAGCCAGAGTGTCCTACTCCTCATAAGGTCACATGACTACTATAGTGTCAACCATGCGCCTCCACACTGTGGCACTGGTGCTGCACCGCTCGACTTGAGCTTCACCACTTTGCATTGGCGAGCTAGGACCAGCAACTGACACAAGAGAGCCTGAGGGATAGCTTGATGGGTGGAAAAATGTATGCTCACTATTCCATTCTTGGGTTATGATTATAGGTCATTTCTTAATTCTAAATAAGATATGGACAGGGTACTATGTATCCTGCCTCAGTCACTGATACAATAGGGTCAAGCTTTCCATCAAAAACTGTAAGCAAAGAGTTACTGCTGCTATTTTAAGAGCACAAAAGCACTGTCTGAAAGGAGATCCAGCATTTCAAGCAAGTTCTGCTAAAGTTCACCTAAACAGTAATGCTCAATTCATGAGAGGCACTTAGGTGACAGCCACTTGGGGGTTGATTCAATTTCAACCAGTCATAAAATTTTTTTACACAATGGCTCACATCCACATCTGCACCAGACCAGATTGCGTACAAATATTTTGGAAGCTTCTTTGAAGTGAATAGCAGGTGAGGAGAAAATATTTCCTTTGTAAGAAGGGCTTCTAGGCAGCACAGCACTTTTTAGATTTCTTCAAGTGAAGGAGCTGCGACTGTTTGAAGAGGTTTTAATAACCCCAATTATTTTCAGAGATGCAGTACAGTTAGTTAAACTTCATTAACCGAGAACCTACAGACTGCTGTTCAACCCTCTAAAAAGAAATGTAATGTTCTTTATTGTTAGTACAAGCAAATTGAAAACATGGCCCCTGGTTCAGGCTGTTTGTAATGCGACATAAAACTTTACATAAACAGCTACTTAGTTAAAATAGCACTTAATGCAAAAAGGAAAGAACTAAACCAGGTGGAAATCTGCATGGTCAGTTATGTCATTGTGAGACTACTTTTCACCGACGCCTGCACTTTACTTAAACCAATCTGAGACAGCAGTGCAATTGTTTAGTGTTCAATTCAATGACATCCGTTTTTAAGATAAACAAAATACAGGTGTTGATGGAACAGTGCTGTAACTGCAATATGTACGCTTATGTCCAAACCCAAGTCAGTGAGTTCAAAACCTTTCTGAAGAGAAAAGGAATGGGGACCTCCTCTCTCCCCAAGACAGGCCTTTACGAAGCTGAACACACTACACACTCTGCAGTCTGGTTTTACTTACATGTTTTTTTAGGGAGGGTGCTTGTGGTAGTAACAGAAGCATCGGTGAACTTGATATCCGAGCCGTTTTTGGAGCGGCTACTTTTCGAGCGGTTTCCATTATGTGAGTGGTTTGGTTTGCTCCTAATGGCAGAATAATACCGTACACCTCGTAAGTAAGCAAATGCTACAGGAACTAACTCATGATGCTTCAAATCCTTCAGTATTCAAGGAGCACAGAAACAGTGTGTTTAAGACATGAAGCATGGTTAGTGTGAACAGTGCTCGTTTCCATGCACATAGCTACAGCATTTCTTTCTCTTGTTATGGTCGCAGTCATATAATGAGCACACAAACATCAGAGGCCAGATTCTCGAAACTTTCTTACGACAAAAAAGTTTGTGAATTTATCTTGCGACAAAGTTATGAACTTTTCAGTATTCTCGTAGCAAAATGTTCGTAAATTTTGCGTAAGTTACGACGAAATTCGTAACTTACTTAAAACTTACGAACATTTTGCTTCGGGAATATTCAAAAGTTCGTAACATTGTCGTAAGATAAATTTACGAATTTGTTTGTCGTAAGAAAGTTTCGAGAATCTGGCCCCAGATAGCTACTTCCAGACTTTTCAGCTAATTCAGTTTTTTTGTTTTTCCTAAAGGTGGTAGACAACAAAAGACAGGGTGCCTTCATCACCCTCAAGTCTAACACCAAAAAGCAAACATGCCAGTCTCAGCAGCATGACATCATTAGTCCCCACGACCACCCCAAGAGCGTTTTCTTTTCATCCTGTGGTAGACTTGGAGGCATTATAATAATAGGACACCTAGAATTTGACCTGCTCAAGGGTATTACTGAAAGCATGCAACAAGACAGAGGCTCCGCGGGAGTAGAAGCATTTTGTATAAATATTGTGTGTAGCAGCCGACTTTAGTTTCTACTCAGTATCAGGTTACCTGAGCACAGTGCTACACAAAACATTTAGGAGCCACAGTTGGCACAAATTTTCTTTTTACACCAGACCTGGAAATCGGGAACACAGATACCCTCCATGCTCAGGCGAATACAGTCGCAAAAACACCTCAATCCCAGTATGTCAACTCGATCTGCCAGTGAGCAAAGAGCAATCTGATAATGAGCGGTGCGAAAAATATTTCACATGTAGATTTTATCAATTGCAGACACTGGTGAATGTTGTCCCATAGTGATTTCCGGAACATTAATCACGCAAGCGCTTGCTTCATAGAGGTGTATTCCCCTGCAGATAAATGAAACTTGGCGGTGTGTTGCGGTTGTTGCTGCTTGCTTACAATTAGGGCTCTGTGTTTTCGAGCGAATCCCAAGACGCAGCCAAGACGCAGCGGGGTGCATTAGAAGTAGTCAAAGCGCTTCACTATGCAATGTAATGCAGATGCTGTCATCGGTGGCATTGCCAACCAGCTGCCAAGGTGAAGCGGCGTGCCTCCTTTGAATGTTGCACGCCCCCAGTAGAAGAATAGCATGTTTAATTCCTTATTGTGTCCTTTTGTTTACCAGGATTGAAGTTGCCCAAGACTGAACAAGACTCTGCAATTGTGGCTGTTTTGGAAACAAATGAACATGTTCAATGCCTCTTTTTTAATTATATAATTCAATACTTATAAAAAGAAAGAAGAAACAATTGAGAGTGTTCCACGTCTCTTTCCCTATTATATTTCACAATATAAAAAAAAAAGTAATCTTTCTTATTTGAAAGAAATCTAATAAATTGTCCAATGAAAGGTGTCTAATAAATTTTAACACAATCATGCGACGACAGTACTAAATAGTTCCTGGAACTTCCAAGCTGTTTACTATGTGAAAACAAAAAGAAGTCTAGCCACAAAAGAATAATACACCGGTGTTTTCTTAAATTAACGAAGTTGAGCAATTATAAGCATGCCCACTAGTCCGGATCCTGGCCCTCCTCCGCAGCAATCCTATCAAGAGCTACCCTTCTTGGGTTAGCAACTGCTGGTGCATGCATTGTAAAATAACTAAAATCTATCCATGCTGCATCACATTTCATGTCCTCAACCAGAAAATATAATGTCACATAGAGAAATGTATCAATTTTAGTAATGCACATAATTCCTAAGCAAGGGATCAGCCGAGGATTGAAACCTAGTTCCTTCTGCTGCAAGAGCGAACGCAGAACCATGGCACCATGAAGGCAGTTAGTACTTTACGTCGGTAAGTGCAGCTCTGATTAGAGTCACTAAATGAGCTGCGCTTAGAGTATCGGCACTCCGTTCCCCTACATTGTTGTGGACGCCGCCATTTTGGGGCTTGTGCAGAGCAGACGCAACTGCCGATCGTCATTATTCAAAGGTGCGACTTCCTCAGCATTAGATTGGGTGTTGGGAAGCTCATGTAATATTGATTCTCTCTGCAGCGAACGGTTTAAGCGTTTGTGGAGAGTGGAAAAGCGTTTCCTGTGATTTCAGATAAAGTTTCGGATAACTGGCAACCATGATCTTAAGCCACAATATGGCCAAGTGCCGTTACTCTGAAGCGTAGCTTATTTAGTGGCACTAGCTCTGATCACAGAGCTACACTTCAACTTCTGAACAAAAACTTGAGGCATTTGGAGCTGACTAAAATCAACTACAAACATGGCAATTCTTTCCTGTTTTTGTAAGCACAACTTCAATAACTAAATATAGATTATTTGAAATCCCAGATAATTAGAAGAATTTGCCTTGTCCTGTAACCACTCATAAAAATATGACCGGATAATACAACTGCCTCACTAATGTCTACGAGTTAATTTGCCGCCTTGGCCATCCGGTTCACTTTGTAATCGCTAGGTGGCACAAGTTGTTATCCCGATTCAACAACAAAAAACAAACATGGCAACATCACTAATGTATCATCACCTACATGCTCTTTACCACGTGGTGCAAATCGTGATGTCACGTACCAGGCGGCCGGGCGCAGTACGCCGCAAGGGCGAAGGTGTCATCTGCTACAATCAGCAATCTGTTACACTCGACGACGCCTGCACTACCGCGGTCACAGCTTGTGTTTTAGTGCAGAAAAAGGCAAGTTTTCTCAAGGGCTTGTTTTTAGCACATTAGTATAAAGTAAAGTTCAGTAAACCACACGTAAATATGTTGCGACAGGTTTGTAGAAGTATGCTGTGCTCAACGTCTTAAATTGGCTCTCTCGCAAACGACACACGCTGCCGGCGATGACGCATGCTCGCACAGGAGCACACAGGCACATGCGGATTCTGTGAATCATGTGGTCAATGATGAGTGCGCTGTTAGCGCCCCCTGTATGCTTTGTTTAAAAAAGTACAAAACAAACAAACAAATCTCACTGAGAGCCCTGAGCATGAATGACGTAGGTAGCATTAGCAGATTTTGTCAATTTTGCTCACCTCAAACTTTGTTTGCCAGTTTCATTACCTTTTAGGTGGAAATGGACTAAAATATTTGGCAAGTGGTCTTTGTAGGCGATACTAAAGATAATTGCATTGTTTTCTTAATACTGTAAATGACTTAAACTTTGCGGGCTCAATATTTCGCGATTGAGGTCAAAGCTGAAGTTTTGGAAAAATTCGCAGGTTCTAATTTTTACGACATGATGGGATCTCAATATAGATTCCAATGTGTTTACATTTTACCGGAAATGTTTGCAGGACTTATTTTTCGCGAACTGTAGGCGATTTGCGAAGCTTGCGAAAATTAGGTTCTCGCGAAAATTGTCTTTTACAGTATGTAAAATGAACCAGGGTTGCCCTTTAATATTGAAAATTCCAAAATTTAAGAGAATAAAAATGAAGGGATTGTGAAGAATACACTGCAATAAAGGCATGATGGTATCAGCCTTGAATACCTTGCTACTTCAAGAGATGTCCACCAACTCCCTGCCTTCCTTAGCAAGAACTCTATAGATTTAAAGAATTGAAATGAAATACACTTCCTTTTTCTTCCTTTCCCATATACTAGTATCACCAATAACCCTTGCTTTATGTGTGATCATGGTGTGGAATGTGGCACAAAGGATCTGCAGCAATATTGAAACAATTTCCGACGACTTGAAAAAGACGTGGCAATGCTGCGAACAGCCTCACCTGCTTTTAGAGTCGGTGTGAACCACGTCATCGAACTTGACTTCATTCTTTTTGAAGAGCTCTGGTGGTTCATCGTCACCCCAACCATAAGACACCTGAGCAGGCTTTTCAATCTCGCTGCCATTGTGCTTGTACACCTCCAGTGCAGAATCTATAAAAAATTTGGAACTAAAACTCCAATTGTAGAAGCCAACATTTAAACACAAAAAATAAAACATAACACTGGGGCAATCCAAAACAGAGGTTGTTTAATGCTGTACACAAGCATAAACGAATGGCATAATACTAAATAAAACCAAGAAACAGAAATTGCAAATGAAGGGCTAGGAACACGATGGGGACATCCCTTCTTTTAGCCATAGTTCAGCAACAGACAGAGTCTTTTTAAAATACCTCCATACAAGCTTCTCAGCACAGAAGCAAACTGAATAGAAAAGAGGCTGTTTTGTGGGAGAACAGTTACTAGCTCATTGTGTGCTACCATAACCCTGTTATTAGCTTGCCTTATTGATACACTACAATGTATAATGGTATACGCCTCGCAAGTGGGCTCATTTTCGTCTTCTGCGCATGAGAAAGGAAGTAGCGGTGACGTCAGAACGCCAAGCCCGATTGGCTGATCGCGACCCCCTATCTCAGCGTCGTCTGCTCCTTTGCAACGTCGTCTGCTCGCAACATCGTCTGCGTCTGTCTTACCTTTCCTGCGACTTAACGAGCGAGCTCGACTTCGCCTTTCAGAGAGGGCACACGAAATAACTTAAGCGGTATGTTGTTTTTGTCTAACATCTAGCAGACGCGCATCAAGGAGGGAATTCAAAGGTGGCGAGGTGTCCTGAGGTGCCGAGGTTTGTTTGCTAAGAACCGAGAGGTGAGCGTGTTTGTGTCCGCAAGTTCCCTCCCAAATACTTTTTCCCTCCTTTCGTGTGCGGCGAGACCCCTCATTCTTTAACGGCGTCGGCGGGTTGGCGCAGTTAACGTCGTCTGCTTTACGTCTGCTAGTCAAAGCGATGGCTGCTTTACCTTTCCTGCGTCTGTCGGAGATTCACCGCTTTTTCACCGGCGAGAGTCACCGTTGCCTTGGGAAACAAGGATATAACAAGAGGAAGAAATTGACCTCTTAATCTAAAATTGAGGTCAGCGATCAAAGTATAATACGGGAAGGGTTCACAAGGGTCGCGCGGGCATATTCCATTCAGCACGCCAGCCGGTCGTGGGCAGACGGTCGCCGAGTCGCGGAGTGCCTGCTAGGCCTAACTGCCGAAGCTCGATTGGTCGCGTTCGGTGGGATCGTGGCCGTTGGAGCTTTTCCCGGGTGTTTGTGGATCCAGCGTTCTTGCTCGTCGTGGTCTGTTTCAAGTACTTTTTACTTTTTTCTTGCTGCTTAAAGTCGGGACGCGTGAGAAGCGCACATAGAAAAATAAACGTCCGTGGAAAAATAAACGTCCGTTGGTCGTCGCGACCGCGACGCTGTCGGCCATGCGAGCTTCGGAGCTGTCGTAGGATTTCGTCGTAACCTGCACAAAACTTACAAAAATTTCGTTTCGTGAATACGAATTTGTTCTTAAGTTTTGTCTTACGCACATTTTTGGCGTAAGATCGTTTCGTGAATCTGGCCTTCCGAAAGTCGCAGGAAAGCTAAGACAGACGCAGAAGTCGTTGCGAGCAGACGACGTTGCAAAGGAGCAGATGACGCTCAGATAGGGGGTCGCGATCAGCCAATCAGGGCTCGGCGTTCTGACGTCACCACTACCCCCTGCGCAAGAAGCAGACGAACTTGCCCTCCGCATATCAGCAAATTAAATTCTAAGTGGTTTTAGGCTTACAAAAACACACTATTCGGGCAAGTAATTTTAAGCTAGGAAGTACAAAGTCGGTGACAAGTAAAGAACAAAGTGGAAGCTCCTCCCAGCTCTTTCCACTTTAGTATAGAGCGAACACTGGAGATAAAGTCGCCTCCTCTCCAGCGTTCATTCTGCTACAGTAGAAAGAGCTGGGAGGAGCTACCACCTCCATGTTGACTTGTCACTGACTATAATTACCAATATTTGTTTGTGAACAGGCCCACTACCGTCCCTTAACAGTGAACACCTGCACACTCCTAGTTCTTTTTTTGTTTCAGTCCTTTAGTGTTTAAAAAAAAAAAAAAAGAATGGCGAGGAGTGCGCATGAATGACACATCGGATGGCAGCTTGCACCACCTAGCCAAGAGCGGTGGAGGCATGCAGCGAGTATGTCTTTCACTGATGCCACCACCACTGCCGGTTAGGTGGCACAAGCTGCCACTCGATATAGTGAAGCTCATTCACGCGCACCTAGCACGCTGCAGCATACTTCCAAGAAAAAAGCACCCTGGAAGGCGAGTTTGCCGGGGTCACAACCTGCAATAGCGATTCTTGTGACTTGAAAGTTTGTAGTGACTTCCCGTATGTTTATCACACTATAAAGCCCGAATTTACCATGAATGCGATCTGCAATATCAGTTTCTGAGACAGGCAAATTCAGCCTATTCCCACGTGTTTATCCCGGTGTAGGATGCAAACCTGCCATGTCTGCAATCTTCAGTATCAGTTCCCGTGTCATGTGGGTTCATAGAAGCCATTCCCATGTTTATTCCTTTCTGATCATATTTTGCTGTTGCACTCCCATAGATCTCCCGGCCAATATTTCTCAGTTTCTCTCTTCACCATGGGTGGCCATTTAATCGGGCTTTTACAGTACGTCCTTTCTAGATTAAATATTTATATATTTATTTTTTACAGATATTATTTTGGACACTGAAGAAACTGTAAGCCTTAAAAAAAGAAGTGTCGTTTTCGGGAGAACACCATGTAGGTAAGTGATTTCTAGTGTAATTTGAAACCCCAAATCTGAGGCAAAACCTATTTCGAAGCATAAACAGCTCTCAAAATGAACTGCACACCATTGTTTTCAGTTATAGTGCTATTATTAGCACACTTTTAAAATCTAGAATCACTGTACGGTCCACTCTAAGCACGACCTAACCTTGCTGATGGACAACTCCCCTAATAACTAAAGCATCACATACTCGAGAAATGTTGCGATTAGGGCTTGAAAAGTTTGCCCGCAAACAATAAAAATTGAGGAGTTGATAGGAGTGTTAAGCAAAAGGAAGCCCCACCGTCCGGAGGGCTATCAGCCGGTGGCAGCTCCTCGGTCTTCTCCTGTTCTTCCAGTTTGCTGGAGTCTGAGTCCTTCCTGGCCTCGTCCCCAGCACCTATATCTGGGCCCTCTGGGACTGACCCTGCAGCTGCATCCTTTTTCTTCTTTTTCCTTTTTCTGTTCTTGCTGGGAGGCTTCAATGAAAGCACATTTATCAGTAAATGACACCGTCCTCCTACACAAGAGTTGCTGTAAGTCTCCTGGGCTAGCTTTAATTTTTATTTTTATTTTAAACATCTTAAGAGGTAGAAATTGGAAGCCATGCGGCAAATGTAACCATGGATGCACACAAAATAGGATGCAGTGTGGCAATCTACTGAAAGATGGATTAAAATTTGATCTTAAACACACTAGTGGGGAATTCCGCTGGTAGATTTGGAGCGTCGCAAAAGAGGTTCTTTTTGAGAATGGATTTTTTGCTCATAAACTTGCGGCAGTGCCAGATTTGTGGAGTGCTTCAAATTGCAGTGCAACCGCTCCCCCGAAACCGGCAGGCCTTAGAAAAAGTTGGCAGCGGCACGCTGCATCAGTTCCTTCCACTCGGTGATACACATACACAGTGCGACCGCTAGACCCGGTCGGTCGGTTGCCTGGGTTGATTATATGAAGTGGCGACTGGCAGTGCGCCTTGACTATCGTGTACTCGTTCCGTGAGCGGATTTTGACATCAGTGCAGATTAGGGGTGGAAATGCAATCGGAGTGTGGCAAACCGTAACCTTTGACATCAGTGTTAACGAGAAATAAATAGAAGAGGGCGACAGAAAGACGAAAGAAGAAAAATGACAGAAGTTTAGGCCTGTTCATTTTGCTGTGACCCTTTGTACAATCCATGCCACCAGTCTCTTCTTGTTCAATAAAACTGGAAAAGATAAGGGAGTCTCGACTTCAGATCAAACAACAATGGTTCGGGTCCTTTTTTTATATTTGTGTAAAACGTATCTGAAAGCCATGTTCTTGGGAGGTGCATTCAGCTATATAAGAATGTTGCACCTAATTTTCTTCCTCAGATATAAAATTTCGAAGCTCGAGAGGTAGAGATTGCCAAGGTTTCAATACGGTACTTTGCACAGCTGTCTATTTCACACCGAAGCAGGTACATAGTAAATTTTTTTCTATTTATTACAAGAAAAGTTTACAACATGTAGACAGAATGTTAAAAATTACAATAGAAGTTTTTTTACGAAATAAAAGCTATGAATCATGTAAACACATTTTAAAGACAGATTCGCAAATTATTTACCAACAAAGTATTTCGTTGGTAAATACAGCGCTACGTCCGTGTCACTTCTTTGTCTGGTCCTCGTCTTTCCGCGCTGTTTTTAATTTCCGAAAAAAGTATTTCACATAAAATGGCCCAAGATATATCAAAATGAGAATCTTGTTGGCAAATAATTTGTGCATGCAACTATAAAACGTGTTTACTCAACATGTTTCATAGCTCTTTTTGCACATAAATATATTATTGTAAGTTTTAATACTCTGTGTACATGTTGAAAACCTTTCATATTACTACATACATGCTTCGGTGTGAAATTGACGGTTGTGCAAAATACCGTCGTGAAACCTCGGCAATCACCTTGCCTCGAGCTTCAATATTTTTTATCTATACGGACTACTTAAAAAATAGAAAACAAGCAGTATTGATTAACGGAGTAACGTCAACTTACTTAGATGTAACGTCGGGCGTCCCCCAGGGGTCCGTGGTAGGACTGCTCTTATATGTAATATTTATAAACGATATTTCTGCAGAAACAGATCAAACGCTCGTCTATACACCAACTCATGTTTACAAACAAACCTGAGCGGCCCCTAGAGGACGCCACCGGCGCCGCACATGCGCGATGGGGGTGTGGGCAAGAAGCTCGCTGTCGCCCATAAACAAACCATTGGAATGCGATGTCGGCGTCGGTGTGAGGCCCCCTGCCCTTTTTCGCGTTCGAATTGTTGATTTTACATCTTCCTGGCGATGTCTGACTACTTGAGCGGCGTCAGCGAAATTATTGAGGCTCGTTACACCGCAAAACTTCGCTTGAATAATGTGAAATGTCGCGATTCATTCCGCGTGGACGCCGCAGTATGTACGCTAAAGCCTGATTCACACGATGCGATTTCGCTCGCAATTTTCAGTCGCGACGCCGCTAGGGCTGCAAAAGCGTGAACTGTAGCTGAGATGGTCAACGTCGATACTGAAAATTGCAAGCAGAATCGGACCAAGTGAATTAGGGATAACAAGTCAATGATGGTCACTGGTAACAATGATCAACATCTCCTTGTATCTACTGTTTACATCGAGCCTGCTTACCAAACTTCAAATTTAAGTCTTTTGAGGCCTGCACTTACTTCTTATCGCAAGTACTGGGCCAACATTTGGTCTATGGGCAGGCGTCAAGAGAGCAGACGACAAGCAGAAACGTTTGAAAGAGCAGACGACAGTTCGAACAATCAGGCGGCCGTTTTAACTTGAAGACGCACTGAACGTAGTCCGCAGGTGGTCCGCACAACTTGACAGTTTTGTGGCACTCATGTTGGGACAAAACAAATAAATCTGATGACCCGTGAATTCAACCCAAAGTGCTTCCCGCCCAAGCAATCGTTGTCCGACGGCGTCTGCTTTTCCCTTTTCACGGCACATATCCAGATTCTCAGACAAACGGAGCACGTGAAAACTGACCTTCAAACCTTTCTCGACACTTTTGGTACAGCCCAGTCGCGGCATTTTGACGAGAAGGCAGGTTTTTGTCTGGTTCCTTTCAAAACAACGCAGGAATATATGTCTGGCATGGGGACTTCTGCCTACAGTCCCAGACCGGAAGTGCGACTGACGCGCCATCACCGCGCCGTGACGTCACAGAGTTGAGTTTGTGTATATGCAGACAACTGTGTCCCATACAGTGGCACCAAGTCGAAGGCAGATTGCCTGGTGTTGCAAGACATTGATCGCATTTTGGGTGGTATGCTCAATGGAAAATGAAGTTGAATATTAGCAAATGTAACCTGATGACTATCACTAGGAAACGTCAACCAGTTAATTTCTCATACATGATTATTAATGCTCCGCTAGAAAAGGTTGAAGCAGTTAAGTATCTCGGCGTCCACTTCACTCCCAGTCTGTCTTGGAGCTCACACAGAGACTTCATCACGGTTAAAGCAAACCGCATGATAATTTTTTAAAGACGGAACTTTAGCAATTGTCCCCGGAATGTAAAAGCAACCTTGTATTATTCTAACGTAAGAACAATCCTAGAGTATGGCAGTGTTTTGTGGGACTCAAAAGAGTGCTGTCTCGCAAACAAACTGGAGCAAGTTCAGAGCAGAGCAGCTCGATTTGTTACAGGAAATTATAACTACAGAGAAAGTGTTACTGCTCTTAAAAAACAATTAGAATAAGAACCACTATGCTCAAGACCAGGGCCGTAACCAGGGGGGGGGATAGGGGGTTCTGACCCCCCCCCGAAATTTTTTTCTGGGCACGGCCCTGGTCGGTGCACAGGCAGCCAGCCGATTTTAATCTCCACCTCTGCGCACGCGCAGTGGCGCCAGTCGGCTACCGGGTACCAAACCGGGACCGGTTCTCCGGTTTGCTGTAACTCTCCATTATATGCCACCGATGCACATGATTCATAGGCGAAAATAAGACAACAGACACTTTCAAAATGGCCGCCGTCGTCCCCGAAAACCCCCCCCGAAATTTTTTTCTGGGTACGGCCCTGCTCAAGACGACGACTACGACTGCGCTTGAAGTTTCTTCATGCAATTTATCATGACCGTACAGGTATTAGTAAACTGAAGTTCACACAACCACCTTACTTCCTCTCTCAAAGATTGGACCACTCTAAGAAAATAAGAAGATACACAGCCCGAACCAACATTTTTAAATATTCATTTTTTCCTAACATCATAAAAGAGTGGAATGAACTACCTGACGAAACTGTTTCCGTCGTGTCCGAGTCTCCTTTTTACGACAGACTACTGTGCGATGGTTGGGCAGGGTGTCATGACTGAAGAAATATAACATCCTAAGTTTACCTTTTCCTGTGGAAAATGTGCCGGGTTCTGTGGGCTTTGCATTGTTTTTTGCATTAGTATTTTTTTTTTGTAATGTTATTGATTTCTGTGGGTTTTGTTTTCTATTGTGGTTGATGTGAGTGGAGGGGCTCGTGCCGCTTTTTGTGACACTCTAACATGTTTTTTTGTTGTTTTTTTTTCTCTTCTGTTTGGTTGATACAGTGCAAATGTATATTCACCTGTGAGCTTGTGTTTTTGCTTATTTGTACATTGTGTATGCAAGTACCATGTCATCTTGTATGCAAATGTACTAACCCCCCACTCCACTCTCCTCTCCACCCCACTTTACTTCACTCCCCCCCCGCTATAATGCCTTTGGTGCTGAGGGGTAAACTGAAATAAATGAAATAAAAAAGAAAATTAGCTGAATGTTACCCCGAAAAACAGCTTTCGCATATATATTTTACATAAGTATGAAAAATATGACCCCAACCATCATTGTATGATCTTACGTGCAAATGATATTTTACTACTTTCCTACATTTATTAATGTCTTGCCAGCAACTTGTGCCTTTGGCCAGACCGATGACAATCGCCATGTCTGCGTCTCTCAAAACGGCCTAAATATATGAAGTGGCAAGTTGCGACGAGTGTTGCTTCTGCTGCTAGATAGCAATAGTAGTGATTGGTGTCGGTGTTGGTCATTAAAGATCTCAAGTAGCTCGTCAAATTGGAGCTCGGGCACAATAGGGTCACGGTTCAGGCATGTACAGAACACTTTGAACAACAGACTGCCAGAGGTTCACGAGAAGAGAGGCGTTTCCAAACTATCTACCGCTGGTCAAGGGTGGGTTTTCTCCTCCCTCGCAGATTTTGAAAACTGATCCGGATCTGCCATCGAAATTCACCACTAGCTACTTGAAAAGGAACCTTCTGGAAGCATCAGAATGCCACCTTTGAGTATATTTGCAGTTTGTTTACTTAGCTACAAAGAACTAAAGTTATTTCCAATCTCAGAATAACTGCAAAGTGACTCTGTCTTACAAGCCTCACCTAGGGATACAATAGTAAAAGAGCATATATATGTTACCTTCACTTTATTTCCAGCACAGTTCCACTCGCGCAGTGCCTCTTCGGGTCCATCTAATGTGAAGTTTAGAAAATAACATGTTTTGGCAACACTCATAGATCCACAAAAAAGTGACTTACGTTTGTAGTTTCATAAATGCTACAAACACAAGACTACTAAACTCGACACACAAACTTCAGGACTACACTTCTTGTGTAAAATGGATCACAAATGACATACTTACTTTCAGAAATAGCGGTTATGGTAGCATTGACATCATAGTCATATGTTCTCAGAGCCATACATATTTGATCTTTGCTCATACTTGGAACAACTTCTCTGACTTTGCTAAGCTGTAAATAAATAAGAAAAAAAAATTAAGATCTCGAAAATAGGAAATATGCACACAGTGAATACCTAGTTTCTTTGTTTTGTGTGCTTTTTTCTTTCCTAGCTAATACCTACCTTCTCTTTAATATCACCAGGGCTGTGCTGTTCTCCATCAGCAAGGGCGACATTGTTGTGAGTATCATAGATTGATCGTGCTGCAATGAAAACAGAGCTCAGTCCCCTCTGCCGCAAATGCAGATGCTAGTTCATGAAGCGCGATTCTCAACAAGAGCGCGCTGCGCGACGATTACAAACGACCCGGGGGACTGATCTTTGCACTTTAAACTCGGCTCAACTGAAAACGATAGACTGCAATTATATTGCCCCAGCACGGGCGATGAAGTTGCCCAAGCTTCACAAAGTTGCATGATCTACATAGCTCGACTCCCAAGACCAGAAAATCGAACAGCAAACGTTCCCAGTCGTCCACGACGCGACAAAAATGAAGGCCCTCCCCCCAGCGACTTGTTTTCCTTGCGCAAGTGCTCCAACAACCATGGTCGCATAGGCAAAACAAAATGCAACAACGAATTAAGGTGAACTTTCCGAACGCACTGGATCATAATATCGAGGCATCGGGTTCAAACGGGAATATCACGTAAGTCTCCGGTGATTGCGGCGCAAGACCCAGACCTAGGATTCTGGTTTAGCGATCCCTGAACGCGAGGGGTCAACGCCCACACTGCAGCGCAAACTCTGCGAAACCGAAACCTCCAAGCTCAGCCACTTGGAACGAGTATACGCCGCGCTGTGCTGGCCGTCAAAATCGCTAGTTAAAAGCCAGGGTCGCCACGACTGTCCCAAACCTTCGCGATCGCGGCCGCACCGGAATTCTGAAGAGAAAACTGGATCGAATTTACTAGGAGCATTAGGCCTAGGTTACTCGGTCAACGAATCGCAAGATTCGAACACAAAACAGGGGGACGCTTTCAAGAATAATACGCCAAGCCTGCGGTGGCACTGACACTTGTGCAATCGCAGGTCGGTCGGAGAACGCAGGGTAAAAGGTGGTGTCAGGTACTTGCCTCCTGTTTTTCTCGCCATAACACGAAGAACGCTCTGCAAACGAGAGCGGCGTTCCTGACAGATAGGCGGAAGCGGAAGTGCTATCCTGAAGTGCGCGACGGCCCTCTCGCGGGGAGCGCGGATGGGAGAGAAACGGTAACTGGAAAGAGGCAAATAGGCGCATTGACCGATGGCCGCGGCAATCTGTTGAAAGACTTGCGTGTCAGGCAGTCCCAGACATCTGCCGATGTAGAGCGATTCCTCTTTCCAGAAAAGCCAGCTTTGCTTCATTAGCAGTTTAACAGACAGAAATATTGATCCCTGACCCCCATAAATTTCCCCCTCCCCTCCCCGACCCCCCCCCCCCCCCCCAAAAAAAAAAATAATAAATAAATAAAAGTAAATAAAAAAATAAAATAAATAATAATAATTATTATGAGTAAAGCGTGTGTGTGTGGGTTTGGGGAGGAAAAGGGGGGGGGGGGGGACTTTAATTACGAAAGACCAAATAAAAGTAATACGGACTATACTCGGCGACAACTTTTCTTGGCACCTCCAGGGAGAGGAGGAGTGATCGCGCACAGCTTTAATCAGCGCTAAAAATGAGAGGGGTAACGTGTACCTGTACCTCCCACTGCATTGCCAAGAAAAGTTGTCTCTACGAGAACTTAATTGTACGTTTCAGCAAAACACTGTTTTTAACTTGTTTGTCTGGAGAGAGGATACCGGAGGAGAAAGTACGTGCGTGTTGTTTTGAATGGCACGGGCACGGGAGTGCATACACGCTTAAAATATGAGGCCCGCTCTGCGTCTTAATTTGGCCTCGCTCGCACTTGGGTACGGAATGTCTTCTTCTAAACTGGTTTGCATAAAACAAATAATAAATAATACTTTACCAAGGTTGGGGCGCTTGTGCACTAGCTTTAGCTGCGTACTTTCAGGACGAATTTCGTTTCAGGCAAGCCGACTCTGAAGTTTTTTTTAGACCGCGTTACAGCTAACGAATATTTTTGTAAATTAAAACAGGAGTTTTTACTTAAGAAATAAAACAAACAAACAATACGCGACTACTTTTTTTAACACGCGCTTGAGCTCCTCGGTTTGTAAGTTTTTTTCTGTGAGAAGTGTACTGCGGGTAAACAGTCGGAGAAAAACACCAGGTCAAACTTGCCGAAATTATATTTTAACTTCATTTAAAACTTTCAGCAACTGCGAATTAAGGAGGCCTCTGAGCATGGAGCTGCAAATCCGCAGCCCGTCCAGCCCGCCTGCTCGCGACATAGGCTCCGTGATTACACTTCTGAGTGAGTGAGTGAAAAGACGTTTATTGACACTGCGGTGAATGGAGGAGTAAACCATAGAGTTATTAGAGAGTTTTAGGGAACCGGAAAAAAATACGATCGATAAACAAAAACGATCGATACCTTGGATCGGGCGTGTGGACCGATCGTGTGCCCTGAAACGGCTTTGGGGGAACCGTATTTGCAGACGACAGCAGACGATCGGTACAGGTTGCGCCCCCTGGCAACGGAAACCTGCATCCGCCTCATCGAGAAAAGACAAATTTGCGTTCGTTTGTACAAATCGCAGAAACTCAAGTAAATAAAGATCGCACCCTAAATATATATAGAACCAAAAAAATAGTATACCTACTTATAGTTCGTCTCGTTTTTTTTACTGGAATGAATGCGCTTCCGTAATACAAAAACTGGCGCACCACGGCGTGTCGCCCCTAGCACGGCGAAGTTCTAAAATGTTCGTCTGCTAAAGAAGCAGACGAGCTTTCCGACAACAATGGCGCTCGATCTTTTTGACCGTGACTTGGAGTTGGCTCTATTCAGCGAAAGCAATTTAGAAAAAGTGATTTTGTACGACTGTCTGCGCAAAAAAAAAAAAAAAATTGGGTTGTGTGTTTATACAGCCTAGAACTTGGTCTGCCTCACAGGGGCGACGAGTCTCCCAGCTGTAGAAGAGAAATTTAGCCAGTGCGGTACAACCGCTAGCCTGGGGTCTTTAACGTGCACCACGCAGTAGTGATACACGACCGCACGCCGGTACGATGCTCATCCAGATCGAAACGGGCAGGGGTGGGGCTCGAGCCCAGGATCCTTGGGTTCTGCAGCGCGAGCTTTCGCTCCACGCGCTCCGAGCTGGTGTGCGCTAGACCACTCGGCCACCGATCCCCCCTGACTGTCTGCGCACTAAGTGTGGCGTGAGTCTCTTTTGAACTTCCCGTTTTCTATAAGCGAGGCACGCACGCGCGTGCCGTGGGGCCCGTGACTTGTGCAGGGGCACGAGGGAATAAACATTCTTTTTGGTTTGCCGTGACACGGAGTCAGTCGCATTTCTTTCGGGTGCCACCGAGCACCGATACACTAAGAGAAGGCGCTTGTTGGCGGCAAGGCATAGGACGTTCAACTTGGCGTAGCTTTTGAGTAAACAAAAAAGTTGTGATACCAGGAATGATGTGCGGATACCACGAATGAAGTGCCAGCGTATTTTGGGTTTTTTTTCTCTTTCAGTTTACCAGATTTATATACTTGGGGAATAAAATTATGCCTCGACCGTACATGGTAACTTGTTTTCTAATAAATCATACGTTCTTAGCGGGCAAACTTAGGTGTTTTACATCAACAAATATGATGTTTACACCAACCACGTCCTGATATACTGAAACGTTGCCGAAAGCAAACTCGATTTGGCACAAGAACACGCTCGCGCGCGCTTATCATCAACATTCGAAGTCGTCTGCTAGCGATCCTGTCTTTTTCCCTCGAGGCCCAATGCAGGATCGAGTATTAAGAAAGCTATGGACAAATAAAACTAGAGATATTAAATCTCGAAGAAAATACAAAAATAACCAAAATATACTCACTTTCTCAAGTTGATGCGGTCATTTTTCTTGTACAAAGCTAATTCAATTCAATTTTCAATTCAATTTTCAATTTAATTCAATTTTTATTTTAAGATCAAGTCATACAAAATAAAGAGCTGGCCCACAAAAGCAGCATTCTGTTTGTATGTGGGGCCAGGCGACCAACTACAATACATGTTGTTAAAAAAAAGAAAACACTCCGCAGCACAAAAAAAAAAAAATAAAAAATAAAAGGAACACAAACTTAGCAGCACAAATAAATACAAAAAGGAACACTTTAGAGCATGAAATATAGGTGTTTATAGCCAAGTCTACTCACGCAACCATGAAATAAAAGTACGAAATATCTCCAACGGTTAGGCTACGATATCTACAGCTCAGATGCTTGACACCAATTCCTTAGTTTCCTTTTTAGTACCCTAGTGGATTCTATATTCATAAGGGACTCTGGGAATTCGTTACTTTCCATACAGTGTGTATATTTTTGAAACGACGTATCTTTCAGTACGTCTTAAATCTCTATTTTTATTTACGAGGAGGTCAATCCGTTCCTTCGCTCCTCGCAACGATAAGTTCTTTTTCAACGCTGCGTCATTCCAAAGTGCTGGAGCGAAAAAGGAGTAGCGCCTAGCAGCTCCCGAAGTAGAAAGATGTTGTCCACTACTGTAAATCGCTTGCGAGGAGGAGGCGGAGGGACGGAGGTAGATGCGGCGCTCATGTTGCTCTCTTACGGTACAGGTAGCAGACGATCACGGTCGTACGCCCGCGTACCGATCGTTGCGCCGTGTACGGTACGACCACGAAGAAAATATAAAGGAAAACCTGTAACTTTACTGCTGTGCACTTATTAAAACTATCACCAAATATTCAAAGGGCTCGTTTTATAGGATATATGTAATTAGCATTTGTACAGAAATTTTTAATTCATGCAACATTTTTAAACTAAAAAGTATCCAGACCCTTGATGCAGAAGGCTGTTGCACACTCTGTTGCCACTACAGATAATCCTGTCATAACAACAGCTGTAAAAAACGGGTGATAAGTGCTCAAAATGCACATCCAATGTTTGTAAAAAAAAAACTTATAATATGTAAACAAAAATTTAAAAGAAAAAATTGTCCTGGGCCAGCGGGATTCGAACTCTTCACTACCGGTCCTCTACGAGCTCAAGAAATCGGCGCTCCAATCCACTGAGATTTTGGCTGCGCTAAACTCCAATTTATTTCTAATGAAAAAGTCCCATTGTGTTTTGTTCTTTATTCTTTTTCTTTTTTGCTGACTCAAACTTTGTGGACTTGCTGTCACACATGGCGCTCCTGCCAGGCACTGCCACGAGTTATTTTATTCATGTTTGGAGCCACGGCACGCTCTCTCCGCCAGCGAAATAGCCGTTTTGCTAACGAAGCGAGACTGTCCATGTCGGCCATTGGTCGTGCCCATTGAGATCAGCGGTCGTGCCGGTCGTGCCTTACGGTTCCAACAGCGCATTACGGTAAGATCGCAGAAGACAGGCGCATGCGCAGTTCGTACCGGAGGGCCCATCGTACCGTATCGGATGTGCAAAAACGGTTCCCTAAAACTCTCTATTATAATGTACGCTAGAGGTTCAACTGGCGCTAGTGTCTATGCGACTTCCGGGAGGCAAATTGAAGCAGACAGCAACCAGTCTACATTTGCGGTGCTCCTGTGCATTCCTATGGGAAAACGCGCGTGAAATTTGTCTCTTCGCCGGAAAATAACATGAATAACTTTTATTATTTCGGTTGTACCGGATAGTATGTACATTTATTAATATTGTAAAAGTGTAATTGCTTTATATACAGCATTTTTCTTTACCACTTAACGATGTTAAGCTTCGCTATATTTCAGGCCCAAACCTATGTTCCATGGCAGGTATGTGAAAACGAGCGACGATTCTAAGCAAACTAACGATCGAAAAGAATAGAGTGTTCAAGGTTCGCCAGCATTGCGGTGGCGCTTATATATTGATAATATGCCCGTCCTGTCACTCTATGAAAATGACTCCGTCGTGCATCTTTACGACGGTTAAAAAACATTCGAATGTAAGAAATAAAGTACGTGGACTACGAAAGGTGTGCCTTTTTATTATTTCCTATGTCGGGCAGTTTTTATTGGGCACCTGTTCTCTGACTCCTCCCTATTTACAAAGATTTGGAGCGTGCGGTTGATGATTTGAACTCAGAACATGCATCATTGCACATATTCATGAGCAG